CGTAGTGAATCAACTATACTCATAACTAATCCATACCTATTTTCATGGTTATGAAATTAGCTACAAGTTCATTTCTTCAATGAAATTACATGAAATGAATCACTAAAAACCACATAAGTGCACATCTACTTTCGTGAGTGTACTCCCTATGTTTAGCACCTCTTGAACTAGTGTTAAATCTCAATTTTCATTGCAGAAACAACACCTTAGATAATCACAATCAATGGTACCAGATTAATCATGATTTAAAGAGCCAAAGTGCTAAATAACTTGCTCAAATCATAGCAATCAAATAACCAAATAATAAACACTAACAATCATAGAAAGTTCAACCAAACCCAAGGCTTAAACTTTAAACACACATATTGAACACAAAATCCAGAACTTGTATATTAACTAAACTTGGAATCAAATACAAAAGATAAAGAGTTTGGAAGGAATACAACCCTTGTCACATGAGCTTTCTTCCTTGCCTTCTTCATCCTCCATCTTCATCCTAATCTAGATAATAAACAAGAATGGAAAAGCTACACTACTCTATACTAAGCTAAACTAACACTAGAGAGATGAAAGAGCTACATTTCTGCAGACTCCAAGCTTTCTCCCGTAGCTCACTCTATTTTTCTGCTATGGACTCCCATCTCCTTCCTTTTGCAATGAATTTGGCTATTTAATGATGAAAGGTTGGTCAAGAAATGATGTTTTCAACTCCCTTTTACAGCTGGGAATGTTTCTCACATGTCTAGCATCACATGTGAGTTGGTGGAGGTGAAATTGAGTTTTACGCGTATAAAGCAGCCTTTTCTGACCAGTGATCCGAGCTGCTACAGTGCCTCGGATCCACTAACCCAGAAACAGCCGAGGGTTCGGATGAATAGTGGATCCGAGTGTGGATCACTTGCTCTGTTTTTGGCCCAACTTCAACCGATCTTTTCTTGATGTTAGAGGCTGAACCAGCTCATGTGTAAAACACGAAAGTTGTAGCCTTTTGAGTTATCTTTCCAATGCATCAAGAATCACCTCATTTGGATCTGTGTAGGCTGAGATATGACTGAAATACCCTTGTCTGCTCATTGCCCTGTTTCAGCTTCGACCAACAGAAATTAGCTAATGTAATTCGGCTTTTTGATTTTGACAACCTTCAAACTGGATTCGGATGTCTTCACCAAAGTTGTAGATCTATCTCTTATCTTCAAATGGGTTCAAGAATCATCCCAATCCGATCATTGTAACTCAAGTTATAGCCGAAATACGAAAATGTGTCAAAACTGTCAAAATACACAAAATCCAAGTAAAAAGTGATAAAAACCTCATTTAACCACTTAAAAGCATTTTATACCAATTATAGCCAAAATGAATCATTTTCTTCCAATAATATATCCAAAGTGACTAAAAATAATATAAAATATCATACAATTATTACGTAAATTAGTCACTTATCAAGTACCTATTATTTATTTCATTACAAAGTTTAAATATTTACATCCAGATAGAGTAATGCTAATGACACTTCAATTATTGTTAACGACACTAAGTTTACCTTTATAAAAGTTGGTCAAGAAAATGAAGTGTCAATGACAACAATTGTTAAACTAAAACAATTTTCTTTCTTTTGGGAAAATCAAACTACTTTCCCAAGTATATATTTCACTTTTATGTTTTAAAAAATCTCAATCTGTTAATTAAATTCACATGTTGCTATTATAAAAAATATTCCTTCTCAAATTAACATGAATGAGTAGATGTAAGATATAAATGTGGTAAAATATCGCTCATACACATGTCATGGATTTTTTAAATTTTCAACAAACAATGATTTTGTTGTTAAAAATATAACATGGTAATCTGTTGTGGTAATTATTTTAGGATTCTTTTGTACATGAAATGAATTTAATTTAAATTACACAATAGATTATATGGGCATGTGAATTTTTTTATTGGTTGAGGTAATTAATATCTTTTTATTGAACCGTTAGTGGTGATTGCTAGTCAAGGGTGAAACTACAATAAAAAATAAAGTTAGTGAGAAAAGTGCAAATGGCTATGGGTTTTAGTGCTTAAAACAAAAAAAAAAAAGGGTAAAATTTTTCTTTTTGAGTTATAAAGTGTCCTTCCATGTGATAGAACTCTCTATTAAAATTTGAAACGGTTAAGAATTCACAAAATTTTTTAAATTTTAATAGTAAGTTTAACTTAAAGAAAAATAAATTTTATCAACCAGCAAATTTACTGAAATTGTAAATTTCCTATATGACTAAAACTTACTGTTTTAGGGGATGTACTTACCAATTTTCTAATAAACTTACCAACACTAATATTGATTATTTAATACGATATTGGAAAAAATGCTAAAAAACTAATCTTTTGCCAAAGTTAATGGAATCCGGCAGTAGTGCATTACCCCATTGTTGTTACTATTACTTGCAATACCGTAGCATTGTCCTTTAATAGGGACATGCTGGGAGATGAATGGGTCGGATAGTAAGAAGGGGTGAATGTAAGTAAGAGAAATCTCCTATTTATATTTAAGAAAAAAAGTTCACAGTATAATGCAAGCTGAATAGTGAAGTTAAAAATTTGCTAGAGTGGAGGATGGGATTTAAAATCATTATGAAAAATGTTATCGAGTCCATAATATTGTTATTGAAATCTTATGATACGTGTTGCAAGTAAACCAAAAGGGATGCCAAGAAAAGGTTGTATAAAATCCAAATAAAGAATGGAGTGTTTATTATTAGGTGGAAATCACACTCCACTACTAATCAAAACCAGGCCGATAGTAACGACTTAAAAAAAATTAAGCTTGATTTGTATTTTAATCAAGAACTCTTTTTTTTGGTAGAAGGTCAATTGTAATCCAACTAAACTACTGTGGGAGGCTCCAGACCCACACTGACAACTATAAAAAAAGGAGGGTTATTATCACTTTACCCTCTTAACGTTCAGTGCCACTATCAATTGTTTCCTTAACGTTATTTTATAGTCATTTTGCCTCCAAAACTAACGATCAAATTTAATGGAGTATATTAATTAAAGTAAAAAGACATGTTTAGCCCTTAAAATTATTATCACTTTATCCCCTTAAACTATAACCTCATTATCAATTTACTCCATAGAGTTTTTTTTAAACAATTTATCCCACCATTAAATTAACTTAGTAAGTTAAAGAATTTTAGAAGAAAGTACCCTCCTTTTTGTATGATAAAAATAATAAAAAATTTAGAGTGACTCTTCTTCTTTTTAGTATCAAGAAAAAAAAGTCAAAGTGCTAATCTCTTTCTTCTTGACAATTTTATTAATATTGAAAAAAATAGAAAGATAGGAAGGGGAACGGGGGAGAGAGAGAGCGAGAGAGAGAGAGAGAGAGAGAGAGAGAGTTCAATTCTTTTTTTTAAATACAAATAAGAAAGAATCAAATACTTTTATTATATAAAAATTAAGGGTTAAAAACAAAAAAAAACCCCTGTAGTAAGCCTAATACACAGAAAAGTCCCTTATGGTTTCAAAATATACAACACGACACCTCATGCTTTGAACTAAATTGTAAAGGTGACGGAATTCGTTAAACTTAACGGAAATGACTTATTGGAACCTAAAAAAAAATTTATACTTAATTTTTATCAAATATACCTATTCTACCCCTTAACTCTCAATTCTCTCTACTTAGAAAATAAAACAAATGATTTTTTTGAGCTGTCTTTTGTTTAATTATATCAGGGTATTTTGGTCATTTTGACCATTTCCGTTAAGTTTAACGGATTCCGTCACTTTTACAATTTAGTTCAAAGCATGAGGGGTCGTGTTATATATTTTGAAACCATGGGGGGCTTTTCTGTGTATTAGGTTTATCACAGGGGGCTTTTTTGTTTTTTACCCAAAAATTAATTCACTTTTCTGTTTACGACCAAATTCCAATCCTAATTCCGACAACCTTAAAGTAATATGATAATGCTAGACTCTTCTTTATTTTCTTTCTTTGCAAAATCTGATATTCTGTCTCCTTCTTTCCTATCTTCTTTTCTTTTCCAAATATTAATAAGTGTGATGTAGAGAGAGTCCATGAAAGAAATGGTGTAATGAAAGTTACACTTGATGTCTGCCCCAAATGTAGCAAAGGCTTTCGTGATCCTGTGTCTTTGGTGGAACATGTTGAGAGGGAACACCGAGGAACTTCGAAAGCTTAGCGAGTAATCACTGGAACGGAATAGTATTCCCTGTAAAAGATTTTTGTGATAATATACTGATTTCATTCTTTCAATGCTTCTCTTGGAAAACATACTGAATTGAGATTGTGCATGTGTTTCAGTTTTTTTTTTCCCGTTAAAGTCAAGTAGAGCTTGGTCTTTTATTTTACAATGATCATTGGATTTCAAGATTAGATGAGTTCTATTGTGCATTCAATGAACGTGTAGATGGCAAAGGAGAAAGCAGGACAGAATTGTTCTGATACTTCAGAAATTTTAAAGGGGCATCAGATTGGACTTTATTGCATAATCTATCGTAATTCTTTAGGTTTTTTTATATAAATTGCTCCCCTTCCAAGTCAATAAGGAATCCATGCGGCTTTAGTTAAGTTCAACCGTTCAGATGTTAAACTCTGTTCCTTAGCCTTTGCTTTCCCTTTTACGTCAGATCTTGTTTACGTGCATGTGACTAATATCAGGTTCCTGAACCCAGAAATAGGTAGCAAATTCGATTCCATATAACAGAGTTATAAGTTAAATTTTTTGAAGGCAAGAGATTGTTTTCAGTTCAATAAACATACGTGAACTCATTTAGATTTCAGGAAGATAAATTGAAAGTATCAGTAAATAAATTGAGTAGTGATTAATGCAAGTAAATCAACAACTATGTGGAACATCAATTTGTTTTGGCATGAGTACCAAAACATTAGGAAAGAACAAAAGTAGAATTCAATGTCCTAGTAAGTTTTATTACTAATATTTAATCATAGTTAATTACGGTCCAAAACATTAGGAAAGAATTCAATACTACATTTACTTTACAAGACTATCAAACAGAGCAACGTCCACGCAATTGAGCTTTGGTTGTCCATCTCATGCATAACCTGCCGGGCTCTCTCGGTAGTCTCGATTTTTTAGTTCATTAACAAACGATTCAAAGGGATGATGAGCCTATAAATACCCTTTACTCCATGTTAAATGCACGGTGCCTTCTCATTTATATCCCTAAGAGTTCAAGTCATTTGCACCATCCTATCTTTGTTTCTTTGAGCTCTCAAGCATGGCTTCGATAGCAACATCAAAGCTTATTTTTACTGCATTCTTGATGCTGACAGTGTTGGCTTCTCAGGCTGTGTGCCGCAACTTGAACGAAGCCTCAATGATTGAGAAACACGAGCAGTGGATGGCGCAATATGGCCGTGTTTACAAGAATGAGGCAGAGAAGGGAAATAGGTACAAGATTTTCAAGGAAAATGTGGAGTTCATTGAATCATTCAATAAGGCTGGGACTAAGTCTTACAAGTTAGGCATCAACCAGTTTGCTGATTTGACAAATGTAGAGTTCAGAGCAGCACGCAATGGCTACAAACCAAAGGAATGTAAAGGAACACTGTTTAGGTATGAGAATGTAAGTGCAGTTCCAGCTGCCATGGACTGGAGAAAGAAGGGTGCAGTTACAGGAATCAAGGACCAAGGGCAATGCGGTAAGCTAAAATAGCCATCATTTTACAAATTATTATTTATGTATCATCAAATCTTCCCAAAGTCATATTGTTTATGATTTTTGGCTAACAATCAATTCCCCTTGAACATGAAATATTAGGTTGTTGCTGGGCATTTTCAGCTGTTGCAGCCACAGAAGGAATTCACCAGCTTAAAACTGGCAAGTTGATCTCCTTGTCTGAGCAAGAGCTAGTGGACTGTGACACTGCGGGTGAAGATCAAGGCTGCAATGGAGGTCTCATGGATGATGCATTTACCTTCATAATCAACAACAAAGGTCTTACTACTGAAGCCAATTATCCATATCAAGCAGTTGATGGAACTTGCAATACAAACAAAGAAGCTAAACCTGCTGCCAAAATCACTGGATTTGAAGATGTCCCTGCAAACAATGAGGCTGCACTCTTGAAGGCTGTGGCCAATCAACCCGTTTCAGTTGCCATTGACGCTAGTGGCTCTGCCTTCCAATTCTATTCAAGCGGCGTCTTCACTGGTGATTGTGGTACTGAATTAGACCATGGTGTGACAGCCGTTGGGTATGGTAAAAGCTCTGATGGAACTAAATATTGGTTAGTTAAGAATTCATGGGGAACTAGCTGGGGTGAGAATGGATACATTTTGATGCAAAGAGACATCGATGCTAAAGAAGGTCTCTGTGGCATTGCCATGCAATCCTCTTACCCTACTGCTTAATTACAAGTCAAAAAAATTGCTGAAGCTACCCTTATACAAGAGCTTTGCTTTGTCTGTTGACTACAGCTCTGTGTATTCTGATGTCAAGTGATTGTTGTATATTTTAAGGTTGCTATCCACCTAATTATGTACATGAAATTCAGTATCTTGTGATATAATGCATGTTAATTTCTATCCTTTTATAAGAAAGTTTACTTCGAAGGGGTGAACTTTTTAATATATGTTTAAGACTTAATATGTGAAATAAATATCTTCAAGTTTTGGCGTGGGCAAAAGTTTAAATTTATAAAAATAAAATTTTCAATTTTCTAAGGGAGAAAACCTTTTTCTAAAACTTTCTGCCCCTCCACACCCTAGTTTTGTCCGTATTGATGACATTAATTGGACTTGGACAGTCATATTTGGGTAAAAAACCAATTTGACTGTAATTAAATCATATACGGTCCCTTGAAAAATATAATCTTGATCATGCAAAAGTTACTATTGATGCACCATATTCGTAGTGAAAATACTGAATTAATCCACAACTCTCTAGCAAAAGATTTATGTATTAACACGACTATTACAGCGAGACCCCATTTAACTATTACTCCCAGTTTCTCCAAGTGCATTTCTAGGACTATCAAATATTGACAAGATATATTGCATATTTTTGTCAAATATGCAGCTAGAAGAATGCCATCATTAGCCTTTGGGATCATATAAATTGATTGGGCTTTGGATTTTTTCTGTTTTTCTAGAAATGAGTTTTTTCCCCTTACATAATGACGAACAAACTAGTGAAAAAGGACTAAATAAGTAATGATCGTTTGACATTGTCCAAATACAGTACCGGGAGATATCCATGAAACTTTACTCAGTTCCGTTTCCCAAATTCATTCTTATACCACTCTATGCTGCTGGTTCTGTTTGATGTTGAAGACGAGAAAGATTTTTCTACAAACAAAGAAAGATATATGGATGCTGATAGCCATCAGGAGAAGGGATTAATCCCTCCCTGAGTGTAGGCAGGGATCGGATCCTCTGCCTGCATTTTAGGTGCATTTGCCAGTTTCTTGGTTTCACTTCCGGAAGGTGCTTAAATACACCCATCTGGTTCTTCTCCATCTTCCTTGCCCTAATTAATATACGGCTAGTTCTAAAAAAAAATGGATGTTGATATCTTAAGTATACCCGTTTGGTCCATCTCCATTCTCCTTCCCCTAATATAAGACCAAATGTAATTGTTGTATTCAAAAAAAAAAAAAAAGGATGCTAATATCGTTTAAGATAAAGAAGTTCATTAAACAATAGCTTCAAAAACTGACAAGGTCCTGCACCTCATTTTGGCAAAGTTCGAATTCGGAAAAAAAATTTTGATGTTGGTTTCTAATTTTGCTAATGTTTTAAAGAAAAGCCTAAATTTTTTAGTAACTTGCCAATCAGATATGACAATTTGGCTATCCAATTTTGTTTTCTTTTATCAGAGAAATTAAATGGATCCTCAGATCATCACAAGTTGATTCAGTATATTAAACATAAAACTAAAAAAAAATTAATAAGGTCATTCAGTTTCTGGCTAGTGTGGAAGATCTAATTCGGAATATGGTAGATGTTAGTTCACATCTTTTATCAATGTTTTTAAGACAAGTTCATACTTGTTTCTAGTTTAGTTTAGTCTTGTAGTTAATGACTACAGAAATGCATTATACGAATTGAAGATTTTGTAAATAAAGCCTCACTTTAGCATTAATCAATGCGAGAATTGCAGTTTTGGTCCCTAATGTTTGGTTTGTGTGTCAAATTAATTGATCCCTAATATTTCGACCAAAACAAATCCACCCCAAAGTTTGTGTTTTGAGGCCAATTTAGGACAGCTAACAGAAATAGAAAAATGACCAATTGTCAATACTAAATTTGAGGCTAACTATACAAAAGAAAGAAACATATACTATATTATTAGCAAGAATAAATGAAATAAAATAAAAACAAAGAAAAAGAAGTTTAATTAGAATTATTATTACCCGTTTAACACTATTTCATTCTAATTTGTATCTCAATTCATGCTAAAACCCTTAATATCACGATTTAAAAATGAGAAAAATATAATGATTTGAAATCAAAATATTGGGGGGACTAAAAGTGCAAAGTCAAAATTGTTGATTAACGGCAATTTGATATTAATTGTTAGTCATTATTGTATTTCCATCAATTGTCCTAAATTTGTCTAAAATCACAAATTTTGGGCACTCAATGTGGTTTGGCTGAAACATTGGGGACCAATTTGATACACAGACCAAAATTACAAGGAAAAATTATCGGTTTCATCCTTCACATTTCACAAAAATATTCTTTTCGTCCCTCACTTTTAAAATGAACCAATTTGTCCTTGACATTTAAAAACTAAAATTATTACATCCTGAATCCAAATTTCAATCTGAATCAAACCACCAATTAACTGGCTAATTTCTTAGATTATAGGTAAAAAAAAAAAACAATCCGTCAATTGTACATCTGACAGGTTAGTTTTTTGAAACTATAGCGGCCGTGCCGATTCAGCACGGCCGCATGATTTTTTTTTAAAAAAAAAAAGCAGTCAGTGGGTCAAAAAGGCTTCGGTCAGGCGCCTGACAGTCAAATGTCAGGCACCTGACGCCTTTTGACTGCCAGGCACATGACGGTTTTTTTTCAATAAGCTGTCAGAAGCCGTGCCCAGTCAGCACGGCTGCTGACAGTTTTTGAAAAAAAGAGAGCGTGGCGTCAGGTGCCTGACATTTGACTAATATATAATTTATATTATATTATATATAATTTATATAGTATATAATATTTATATAAATATATTATAAATGTATAAAAAAAATTTTAAATAAATTTTTTTTATAATATGTATAAATAATTATATTAGATATAATACATAATATAAATGTATATCATAAATATACATTAATATATATTTTTTGTATAAATGTACAATATATAATATATAATAATATAATTTATATAGTATATAATATTTATATAAATATATTACAAATATATAAAAGTATTTTGTAAAGAAAATAAAATATTTATAATATGTATAAATAAATATATAAATATATAATATATAAATATTTAATATACATTAATAATAATTATAAATATATAATATTATAAATATATAATATATACAATATACATTAATATTAATTATAAATATTCTAATATTATAAATATGGTGTTTTTATAATATTTCAATTAATAATATTTATTGTATATTTCATTATATAAATATTTATATAATTTATAACTTATAAATATATTTCATTATATTAATTCCTGCTTATTAGAATACATGAATCTTTCTTTAATTAACAACTATTATGCATTTGATAATGATTTAATAATAATACAAAATTTAAGTAAAAAATCATGTTCTATTTACAATACAAAGGCATCTAGGGACATGAATAATGAGGTTAGGTGAATGTATTTATTTTAAAAATTAATAAATTGAACAGTGGTAGGGTCCTGGCGTGAGCCCATGAACAAAATTTAAATGGTATTCTAACTCTATTTTATTCATTTATGTATAATCTCCGCCAAAATAGTCGCTTATATAGTTTTTATAATAATTTTAGTAAACTAGAATTTCACAGCCATCCTAAATAAATTTCATTAATTTAATTTTCAAAATCACCTGATTAAACTAAATTTTAACCATAATCCTAAATATACTTCAATTTATTAATTTTTAAAATAAATACATTCACCTAACCTCATTATTCATGTCCCTAGATGCCTTTGTATTGTAAATAGAACATGATTTTTTACTTAAATTTTGTATTATTATTAAATCATTATCAAATGCATAATAGTTGTTAATTAAAGAAAGATTCATGTATTCTAATAAGCAGGAATTAATATAATGAAATATATTTATAAGTTATAAATTATATAAATATTTATATAAAGAAATATACAATAAATATTATTAATTGAAATATTATAAAAACACCATATTTATAATATTAGAATATTTATAATTAATATTAATGTATATTGTATATATTATATATTTATAATTATTATTAATGTATATTATGTATATTAAATATTTATATATTATATATTTATATATTTATTTATACATATTATAAATATTTTATTTTATTTACAAAATACTTTTATATATTTGTAATATATTTATATAAATATTATATACTATATAAATTATATTATTATATATTATATATTGTACATTTATACAAAAAATATATATTAATGTATATTTATAATATACATTTATATTATGTATTATATCTAATATAATTATTTATACATATTATAAAAAAATTTTATTTAAAATTTTTTTATACATTTATAATATATTTATATAAATATTATATACTATATAAATTATATATAATATAATATAAATTATATATTAGTCAAATGTCAAGCACCTGACGCCAAAAAGGCGTCAGGTGCCTGACGCTCTCTTTTTTTCAAAAACTGTCAGCAGCCGTGCTGACTGGGCACGGCTGCTGACAGCTTATTGAAAAAAAACCGTCAGGCGCCTGACTGTCAAAAGGCGTCAGGTGCCTGACATTTGACTGTCAGGCGCATGACCAAAGCCTTTTTGACCCACTGACTGTTTTTTTTTAAAAAAAAAAAAATCATGCGGTCGTGCTGAGTCAGCACAGCCGCTATAGTTTCAGAAAACCAACCTGTCAGATGTACAATTGACGGATTGTTTTTTTTTTTACCTATAATCTAAGAAATTAGCCCAATTAACTTGATTACAAATTTTGAGGGTGTAATTGGTAGATCACTTGGTTAACTCAACTTGATATTCATGTGAAATTTAATTAACCTAAAAATAAAAAATTATAACATAAAAAAGAAAGATTAATCTTTTCTACATTATCATTGTATACACTGACGGTTTTATGTACCGTCATATCATTTTAATTTTAATTTAAACACCAAATTTTATATGTATGATACACATCTAGATTCGCAAGCAGGCATACTAACGGTGAATGAAAAGATTTATAAAAAAAAAAAAAAAAACTCTACTATTCCAAGATAGAGAATGACCTTTTATGTTATAATTTTTAATTTTTTGGTTTAATAAATGTCATGTGAATATGATGAAGTTGACCGAATGATCTATCAATTTTATTTTCGAAATTTATTACTAGGTTATTGGATGATTTGA